CACTTCGAGAGGGATTTGCTTGAGGGTTGCCACTACCAACCTCAAAGTTTGTAATTAAAGGGATGTGCTTGTGCGACCAATGAACAAGCCTCAGTCCAATCGAGCAGCGACCATCTTGGGAAGGCACCTGCAACTGGTGGCTCGTCTGATTCCCCTGGCTTCTAGCCAAGACATAGTCAAAGGCCACCTGCAACCCCATGAGTTGCTGATGTTAAGATTGAAGAGAACAAGGATGAGAGAATGTTCTTTTGTTGGGCCTTTCTGTGCATTTGTGAGGCCTCAACGGGAACTTGGACCACGATGCTTGCTTGGAAGTTTGCATTTTCTTCCCACTTCTCATCCTAAGCGCAAAACATGCAGGAGTTATACATGCAAGATCTATTGGACACCGTGGCCTGTCTCTCATGACATGTCCAAGCCCCGCACTTCGATCTGGCCATTGTAAACCTTGGTTTCGGGCACAACGGTCCGCGTCTGACTCCGTGTTGGACATGTCTCACATTGCCTTGCTCTGCTGCAGAGACACGTAGGCCAATTCCGGGGGCCGATCTGTCCGTACGCCTTTCGGCCCTTCTTTCAGGGCATCCTGCCCGTGTTTCACATGGAACGCTCAGAAACTCCCCTAATTCAAGAGTGGCTGAAATATGGGGAGTTTCTGTGCCTACTGCAAAACAAGCGAGCCACGGACAAAGCATGGCGTCAAGTAATCCCTGTCGCAGGAATCGGAAACAAATAAAAATAGAAACCTGGAAAAGTGCACAAGAATGAAAGAACAACAAAACACTTAAAAAACATTATGCCGGCGACAAACCCCAAACAGAGTTCAGAAATCACAGTGATGAGTCATGAGTGAAAAATGATTTCGTTGTCCTTCTGGCAATGGTAGCGGTGGTCGTCAACGGTAGTGGCAGAGTGGAGTGTGTGGTAGTGCGGTAGCGTGGTAGGGTGGTAGTGGTAGCCGCGCTTTCCGCGAAATCTGCACGTCGGGGTTCACAAGGTGCTGTGCGTGCCAGGAAATCTGCACTTCCAGGTTCACAAAGCGCTCATGTCCATCTTGCATTCTGCTGACATTCTAACTGCCATATCTCTTGGCATTTCTATCTTGATGGTGTGCAGGTCGGTGCGTGCCCAGACTGACCTGGCGCTCTCTATGGTGTGCTGACACTTGCTGTGACGACATGGCAGGAGGAGTGCAACGCGGATGGTGGATGGTGTGGCGCAGGCGGATGGAGTAGCACCTTTGTTCCTAATAGCTATCAAAACCTACTAGCAATGGCTTCCAACCCACGAGCGATGGCCTCCTCCAACCTACTAAGACTAGCAATGGCCTCCAACCTACTAGCGATGGCCTCCTCCAATCTAGTCTACTAGGAATGGCCTCCAACCTACTAGCGATGGCCTCCTCCAATCTACTAGGAATGGCCTCCAACCTACTAGCGATGGCCTCCTCCAACCTAAAAGCGATGGCCTCCACCCTACTAGCAATGGCCTCCAACCTAAAAGGAATGGCCTCCAACCAAATAGCGATGGCCTCACACCTACTAGCAATGGCCTCCAACATGCTAGCCATGGCCTCTAACCTAACATTAATGGCCTCAGACCTAATAGCGATGGCCTCCGACCTAATAGCAATGGCTTCCAACCGAATAGCAATGGCGTCAAACCTAAAAGCAATGGCCTCCAACATAATAGCAATGGCCTCCCACCTACTATCAATGGCCTCCAACCTACTAACTAGCGATGGCCCCCAACCTAAAAACAATGGCCTCCAACCTATTAGGGATGGCCTCCTCTGACCTACTTGCAATGGTCTCCAACCTACTAGCGATCGCCTCCAACCTAAAAGCACTCCAACCTGCTAACTAGCGATGGCCTCCAACCTAGGAGTAACACCAAACTAGCGATGGCCTCACCTGGCAGGTGGCAATATGTGGCAGTAAACAAGAAAATCAATTTCTCGCTGGGGCAACGCTTTGGACCAGATCGTCCTTGTAGGCCCATGCTGGAACGCCCTGCACCGTATCGTCTGTGACGCCCTGCACCGTATCGTCAGGGTGTCGGGAATGTCTGGGAAGGCGGACCCACAAGACACATAAATTGGAGTTTGATTGGCATCGGAGCCCCACACGTAGCTTCTTGTTACTACTAGTAAGGCACTTGTTACTAGTAGCGATGCACTTGTTCCTAGTAGCTTCTTGCTCCTAGTAGTAAGGCCAGGAGCCCCTAGTAGCTTCTAGTTAAAATAGAATTGGATAAACATTGCCATTTTAACATATGTTATATAGAGTCGATGTGTGTTTTGTTTACATAGAAATTAGACAAGCAACTCGAGTATACAAACCGAAGACGGCTTCCCAGCCTTCTGCCGCATGGCCATCTTTGACCTGATCTTATGCAACTCTTTTTTGACATATGACTTGATGGCTGATCGACTGAAAAACCTCCAAATCTTGAGATCTCACATGATCTCACCGTTGAACTACTAAGTCCTCCACCGCTCAATGAAGATTCTCTCATCTTCGATCAAGCGCAAATCGGCCGGAGGCATCTGCCACAAATCTTCGCCATGCTGAATTTGACTCAAAGGCTTCACCTTCGGCTTGGGCGACACGGGCTCCACCTCTTTCGTCGCGGGCTCGTTGACCTCCCTTCTGGACTGATACTTCACCGTTTCTCCCAGGGTGTCCTCCAAGACCTTGATTTTTCGCTTCAAAACTGCAGCTTCTTCATAGTCCTCCTCTTCCACCGCTCGCTGCTTTGCCTCCTTCAACCGTGCCACCTCAGCCGCCAAGTTGTGCCTTCGGTCCTCATCCAGCTCGGATGGCAGCTCCAGCGGGGGATCCGGGACGCACGGGGCGGTCATGTCATCGGGACAAGAAATAACGAGATGAGACTGATGTCAGTTCAATATGTGTTTCTAAGAAGACTGTCTTTAAGATAAATATCGAATTAAGTCTATCACTTTGTGTGAATCTGCGACAGAACACGATCAAAGGCACGAACATGCTCGTCTTGGAATGTGAACATTTTTCGGGTGACTAGCTATGAAACATAGATGGAATACATATGTGTCATCGCTGACCCCATGTGGAGTCTCAAAAGCAAGAAATGGCTGCAGAGTGTTCTTTTTCCAATTTGTCTTCCGACTTGCTCCTGCCTTTCGCAATCTTTCGCCCTAGAGTCCAAACATGGCTGACAGCTGCCATTCTTGCGGGAAGCGTGCCACAGAAGAAGGAGGAGATTGTGAACCTGCCACCGTGCCAATTGGATCAGTCTCAAACCTATCACTTCACCTCGATTGACGGCAGGACTGTTTGGTCGGGAAAAAGTATTAGATATTTTTGAGATTTACATGATTTTACCTGCTCTTGGTCTATACATCATTGCGTTGGTTGGAGGCCATCTAGGAGGAGGCCATTGCTTCTAGCTAGCTATTAGGAGCTATTAGGTTGAAGGCCATTCGTTGAGAAAAAGTCCTAGCCGGTTTGATCATTGATTTAAGATTATTTAAGTAGACAAGGACGCTACTAGGGGCTCCTGGCCTTACTACTAGGAGCAAGGACGCTAGTAGGCTCTTGCTTGCACCCCAGCTAGGATCGCTCACCGCTTCTGCCAGTGGCCAGAGAAGAGTGCGGCCTCAGCATGAACTAGTTTCGGGGCCATCGCTGGTAGGTTGGAGGCCATCGCTATTTGGTTGGAGGCCAGCGCTATTAAGTTGTTCAAGATAGCATTGCCCGTAGCATTCAAGTCCTAGGCATAAACCTTGACATAAACTCCTTTGATGCACTCCTTTTGGAAGACCTGTTTTGATATGGCTTCCTTTCCTTAGTTGTGTTTGTAAGTTTAATTTACGTATTAATTTGTTCTAGACCTTTAGACCTGTCTTCCTTTCCTTCGTTCTTTCTTGCTCCTAGTAGCGATGCCCTTTGCTCCTAGTAGCGTCCTTGTTACTACTAGTAAGGCACTTGTTACTACTAGTAAGTTAGGCACTTGTTGCTAGTAGCTTCTTGTTACTAGTAGCTTATTGAACACATACAGTACATTCTTGCTACTCAGTGATGTTCTCCAGCAGGCTCTGACCACTGCGCACTCGGCACCCGGCGACTGCAGCGAAGGCATCGCCATGGTATTGCCTGAATCGTCTAGCCGGATGGAAGTTGCGGCACCAAGACTGCGTTTTCAAGAAATGTCTGTCTGTGATGTTTTTGCGTTTCTTTGTTTGGAGGTTTTGACATTTGAAATGAAACCGTTTCTGTTTTGCTTTCTTTGTTGGAGCAAGGACGCTACTAGGGGCTCCTGGCCTTACTACTAGGAACAAGAAGCTACTAGGGGCTCCTGGCATCGCTACTAGGAGCAAGGACGCTAGTAGGTTGGAGGTCATCGCTTCTTGGTTGGCCATTCAAAGAACGCATAACACCTTCCACCCCGAGTGAGCCCGAGCGAGCGCTGGACCCTTTTCTCATGCAGCGGGCAAACCGAACGCCCTGTACGTGGACCATCGACCGAAAGAGACCCTGCTTGGTGAAACGGGTGAGACAGGATGCCAGGTGGCAGGATACAACACGTCATCGAAAAGAAACTGAAACTGATGTTCACCAAGTCTACACTGATTTCAGCAGGAAACGGTTTTGTGAGCTGACTTGCTTTGGACCTTCGCATTTCTCGGCTGCCACAGCTGTGTTGGACCCACACCCAACTAAAGGGAGGTCGAGAGCTGTGAGAGAGACTAAATCTCGATGGGCTTCCTCGGTCGCGGCAGGCGTTCTTGAAGGCCTGCCTTGGACGTAACTATTACCTGTACACACAGTCCTTTTCGGTTTTGTCCTTTCGTTCTTTTTTACTTTTCTTTGGGAATCTTTCGACTCTTCATATTGTTTGTTTTGCTTCAAGGCGCTTTAGGCCTTACCCTTGACCCTTGACTGTCCGTTGGCTGTAAGTATGAACCAGAGTTACTGTAACAATAACGTTTGCCTTTTGGTCTTCATGGTTCTTCTCTGTTTCTTTGAGGCTGCGACGGGTTGGGCTTTCGGATGAAGCGCATGGTGGATCCTTGAGCTGTAGGTTTGAAGGGCGCGTTGACACCATAGGCCTTCCAAATGCGGAACCAAAGGAGACTCCAGATTTCACTGTAATTACGATTAATGAGAATATCTTCTCGTGGCGTTCTTGCTCCTAGTAGTAAGGCCAGGAGCCCCTAGTAGCGTTCTTGTTCCTAGTAGTAAGGCCAGGAGCCCTAGTAGCGTTCTTGCTCCTAGTAGTAAGGCCAGGAGCCCCTAGTAGCGTTCTTGTTCGTAGTAGTAAGTTAATGAGACCTATAATTACTACCAAATCAAGTTGTTTCCTGCAAGCCCAGGCCAACCTTGGGAAGACCATGCTCGTCGTCAGGGATGTAAGCATTGACCTGAGTCAAACCATCTCTGATCTGGTCACCAAAAGTAATTCTGAAACCGTCTCAGTATGCCTATGCGGCATATGCCTACGCCAGGACACCTTCCATATTCCGTATTCCTATCAGAAACCATGCAACACACGCTCGAGAACATGATCATATCGTCAACAGTAATGCTTCACGCTCCAACTCGTCGCCCTTCGCGCGTTTCTTCGGTCCCACACCCGCGGCTCAGCTGTGGTCCTGGTGAAGTTGCTGTTCATCACATCCTCCTCCTGCTTTCGCTGAACCGCCGCCTGATCCAAAACACGAAACGGCCACGGAAACCACGACCTGAACACACATGTTCGATACAAACACATATACATGTAGCAAACAAATTGGGTTGGTGTTCCTAGATGTTTGTTCCTAGCTTTGGGGGGAACTTAAGTTGAACTCTTGCCTTAACTAGTTTCAAGGTCTAAGAGCAGTGGTTTTTTCATTACCTGTTTTTTGTGCTTTCCACTTTATTCTGTTCTTCTTTTTCTTCTTTTCTTCCTTCTTCTTTCTCATTCTCCTTCTCTTTCTCCTCCTTCTTCTCCTCTTCTCTAAGCCTTGAAACCTATCTGTTCTTCCTTTATCATTTGTGAAAAAATAGAAAAGGACTACTTTTTAGGCCTTAGCCAACCACGCCTTGCTATTCAAAAGAGCACATCGTTTCTTAGCAGTCCACATCCTCTGCCTCATTGGTACTCCCTTAAACAAACCCGACGACACTCAACAGCGAACCGGAACCCAACGCCGCCGTTGGCTGCCTGTCTGTCCAACTCCCTCTGGTGCTCCACCTGGCACAAGAGAAATTGATCAAATTCAGATTGTTTTCACTTCGGTTTCGGCTGGCCATCCCATAATATCTACACAAATATACAGTATCAAGAACATCATTCCTTGCAAAAGCCCCCCCTTTGGTGTCTTGAAGCCTGCAGGGATTTCAAAACTGTAATTTTCCACGCAAACCAACCTGCAGCATCTTCTGGAACTCTCCATCTGCTGCTTCTGTCGGTGCCTGCTATAGTCAGAGCTTCTTGCATCACGACATGCAAGGCTCCTTCTGGAAGCAAGGGAGGGATAAGAACGAAGAAAGAAAAAGAAGGAAGGACTAAACGGACTGAACTGCCTACCCGTGTGTTTTGTCATTTGTCTTCCTTCTCGTCTTTTTCTTTGGACCTTTCTTGTTCAAAATCCCTTTCAAACGGGTGTCAAACACAGAGCGACACAGGCACCCGACCGGACGGGCACCCGACCGGCCTGTCCATTTTCCAAGTTCTCCCGAGCCAGGATAGCACGCTCGCAAGCTTCGTCGCGCTCTTTCTGGCGAAAAGTGCAGAACGAGCAGAGCGAGCAGAGCAATGAATGAAGAGGTTCTTTACTTGTCTATCCGAGGCAACCTTGCCTTCTGGGAATGATCATGAGTCATATGCTATGAGTCAGATCGGTCAGTGTTCCACTTGAGGCATCCATGGCGCCAGATGCCGGCATCTATGTGGGCCGGGCGCCAGGGGAGGCGGCCCAGTCCTGCAGCTTGTGGGCTGTGGCTTGATGCATCGACAACTCGCTCACAGTGGCCTCAGATCAGCGAGCGAAGCTGAGCACATGTTTCAAAGCCCCTAGCAGCATCCTCTTGTTCCTAGTAGTAAGAAATGCTCCTAGTAGCGAGGCCAGGAGCCCCTAGTAGCGATGCCCTAAGACAATGGTGTTGGTTTCACGGTGTTTTCTTAGCAATGGTTTTTCAACCTAAGAGCGAGCGATGGCCAAACCTTTTCTGATCCTGTTGCACTCTGTTGCACTCATCTTGTCCTTCATGTTCCTTCGTTTCTCTTCTCTATTCTTTAGACGTCCAGAGAATCCTCTGGACCTTTTCGACGTCTTCCTTTCTTTCTCATTCGCTCTTTCGTGTCTTTCGCTCTTTCATTTCCAATTGTCCTTTCCTTTGCTTTAGACCGATTTAGACCTCCAGCCTTCAGACCTTTCTTTGGGTCCTTCCCTTACTTCTTCCTTTCAACACTCCTTCCTTTGGGTAATGAGAATATATCGTAATTTATGTCCTTGATGGTACTTGTGGTGCATATTACATCATATTATATAATATTCTATGTTTAGTTCACCCGCGCAATACTGAAAGTGGTGACGACCGCACCACCGTGAAGACCAGTTTCCCAGAGTTTTAATCTCCTCTGGAAACGGAGCAATCCTACTAGCATTGGCCTCCAACCTAGTAGCGATGGCCTCCCCAAGCATTTCAGATTCAGGTCTAACCATGCCTGACAAGCCACGGTCACTGGGAAACCCGACCATCATCTTCCGGGTCACATCCTTGATGCGCGACTGAAAGAGGTTCACCTGCCATGAATCTTGATAATGTCAAGGATGGTAGTGGCTTGCCACCCTACCGGAGCAAGGCAACTTGATGCAACTGCCGTGCCCTTTTTCGTGCAAGTGAAACTGCCAACCTCCCGGTTTGCACCGGTGGCGAATCCTAATGGGTGAAAAGCAGCGCATCAACGACTGCTCAGCTTGAAAAGGACCACGTCCTGCTGCGTCTCTGTCAGAATCAAATGAGTGATAGTACTTGCTTGGGGCCCAGTGGCAATGAAAGCCCTTTGATTCTCTGCTAGTCAAGAAATAGCAGGACTTAATCAGCTGAGCATGGGCTCACAAGTTGTGACCCCCGATGCGTCTTGCTCTGAGGATGAGCTCTTGGGCGCATAGCTCCCAGACTCCAGCCTGCCACACCACGGTTTCGTTACCGTCGTTCCACCAAAAAAGAAACTTAAGAGAAATTATTGGATGATCTAGGATGGCCTAAGGGTCAGGGATTTGCAGCGAAATCTGTACAACGCCAACATCTGGGCCTCTCAAGATTCTGGACAGCTTGAGGAGGGCTTCACAGACTGTTGGGCAGTCATTCGGACAGATTGGCCCTTTGGGCGATCCTCCCGAAGAACAAGCAAACGTTGTTTTTTAATGCTTTCTTGACGTTGTTCATGCCTTTTCAGTGAACATCAAAGACCAACTCCGAATCCAACTTTTTTTCTGCATGAAGTCCTTGTCCTTTGATTGCTTTGTTCAGGGAACAAATTGTATGTCTCTGAGTATACTATACATAAGAGCGTTCACCTTTCAGATTCTGCATATCACTTCACTTTCAATGGAGGCAAAAAGCGGCCCGAGCTTGATGACCTGAATAGAGAGACTTTGGTACAAAGGTGGCCAATAAAGAACCTACGGGGATATATGAATGATGATATATGATGATATGCTAGGGATTGCTAGGGTGCTTTTTGAACCACAAGTAGGGTACAAGCAAGGTGTTGTCCCAGTCCTTGAGAAGACATGCAGCTTCTGCCGTATTTGCTCTGAGGTCACTGGCTTTAACGGCACGTACTCACCGTCCACCACCTTCCATCTAGGCAAGTTCGCCACCTCTCATGTGGCAGCCGTCCATGAATTTCACAATCATAGACTACAAATTCATATACTATCATTCACTTCAAACTTCAACGAACACCCAAGTGACGTATGAATTCCATCGTCGACTTCAAGTCGACTTCAAACGGCTGAGGTTCATGTTCTTTCTTCGGCCAAAGGATGGAAAAAAATTGTTCTTTCTTCAGAAACAAACTCTTGGAAGACTTGTTACTAGTAGATTCTAGCTACTAGTAGCGATGGCCTCCAACCTACTAGCAATGGCCTCCAACCTAATAGCGATGGCCTCCAACCCAATAGGGATGGCCTCCAACCTAGTACAGTAGCTTCTAGCTGTTCCTAATAGTGATTCACTTGTTACTAGGTGGTGGGAATTCTGTCTGGAATGACCTCATTTTCATGAAGTGCTCCGACCTCTGCATCATCGCAAACCGTGGAAGGCGTATCGGGCCGCGTCCAAGATGCCTGGAAACAGGTTGACAGACTCGGTTGGTTGGCCTCCAGCCTTGTCGTAATCCTTCGATGTCTGGTTAACCTTCCACTGCTCTTCCAGTTTGACCAAAACCCTAGTAGCGATGCTCCAACCTAGTAGCGATGGCCTCCAACCTAATAGCTTGACCAAATACAGCTGATCTGCCCAGTTCAACGACTCCTCTGAGCACCCAGCCAGTGGAGTATCGCTGCGCTGCCATGGAGGCCGCAGCCAGGAAGGCGTACTGGGCCGCCTGAGGCGAAGGACACAAAAGACCTTTCCAAACCATGGCAGCCATGGAACTCTTAATCAGTATTTTGTTTTTGCTCTTTCTTGTTTGTTGCTTATCCTTAGTCGCTTGTACGTTAAGAAAATAACATAACACAGCACTACCACGGCAACGCCGTTCCAACATCGCCATGGTCCTCCCTCCAAACCGGTCGCTGAGTCGATGGCGTTGCCGTGCTCGGCCGGGATCGATAGGAGCTGCGAGGACGTCCATCCGACTGGCCGCGCGGCTGCGATGAGACGTCACACAGAGAGGAACATCTTCCTGCCCCAATGCAGGCCAGGAATGTGGATACATTGCTTGTAATTACACATTGGTAACAAATGGTAACAAGGGCATTACTACTAGCAAGAAGCTACTAGTAACAAGGTGCATCGCTACTTAGCGATCGGACGCTACAAGCGGAGGCCAAACGTCGGCACGAACAGAGTTGGCACCGACCGACCTTACGGCGGTTGGTGACCGACGCCGCGAGTCGAGTGCATCGCTGTGCGCTCGGATGCGCTCGGGTGCGCTCAGTGCCTCGCGTGCTGCTAACGGCGCACTCGGTGTCGAAGGCACCTGCAAAGGCTGATCTTCGAAAGGAAATGAACAGTTCCGAGGCAAGTTGATCGAACAAAATGTTTCCTGGGAAGAAGACATGATTAAATAGGCCATTCTGAAATGCCATTCGCCGTGTTGAAGGAAGTCTTTCTGCTTGCGGGTATCCTTGATTAACCTTCAGGGCTGCCAACTCACCTCTAGTCCCGGTGCCACTGGAACGCCAGCAGATGCCGAAGGGCTGGATGAAATCGAATACCCAGCCTAAGCAAAGCTCTTTGAATCATTCGAATCTGCCAAAAAAGGAAGAACAAGAAGTAAAGAAAAATGTCAAAAGGTCTTTAAGAAAAAATGGAAAAGTGAAATCGCATCTGACACTTTGGGATGGCACGAACGGTTTGTCGAAACATGTCTCCACAACGTAAGGGTCTTGCCGTGTCAGACTCATCTGCCTGCAAACGACAAATCTTTGTAGCTGACAGCCAAAGTCGGCCCTGCTGATATTCAAGCATCCTCCAACCTAATAGCGGCCTCCAACCTACTTGCAATGGCCTCCCAACCTTAATAGTGAAAGGAACCCAATCGAGTACCACCTCGCTTGTCCACTACAATGTTCTACAGCAGTCCGCGTCAAGACTCTCTGTTTCCCATTGTTTCCCCTCTCTGTTCGCACTGATGGGTGGCTCCCTAGCCATGGCGAAGACGTCTCGTTTCCATGTCCCTGAGAATCCACCCCCGTTCTGCCGAAGACCGAAGACGAGCTGAAAACGGCAACTCGAGTAGCTGAAACCACATGCGACGAAGGGATCTCCCATTCAGATTGAACTGGGAGATCATGGCATTCTGTCCGAGTTCGGCTTGAAACCGCTTGTAGACCAAGATAGAATCCAAACTCACACCCCCCGCCTTGAAGCGTTGCCGGCGTGGTGCATACCCGCCGCGCCTAGGGATTCAAAAGAACACCCACATTCGTTTTGTCACGTTTCTCAGGAGCTTCCTGTTGTCTTTTTTGGAGCTTCAGGGTGTGGGTCTCGGAGCCCCCCGAAGGAACAAGGGCATTTGTAGGTTGGAGGCCATTGCTTCTAGGTTGGGTTCCAGGACATGGCTCCTAAGGCCGCGGCGGAGAGTTCTGTGCACATCGCGACGGAGAGGGTGGATGGCACACTTCCCGTGCTTCCTTGCTGCCCTGTGGCGTAAGAAACCGAAGCCCAGTCTACAGCCACAGCTGCTCTCTCAAACCCTGCTGTTACCAGTTTCACTCACACTGATGCTGGAAATGTGTCCCTTTATTCAAAACACAATTAGCATTATCAACCTTGAGGGTAAATTGAACTGGAGAAACCCTATGTACGAAAAGAACGAAAAAACTGATTGAAGGCTGATTTCGATCAGGCATGGTTCACCAGTGGCAAGTGCAGGCATCTGCAGCAGCCCCACCTGGGCCTGGTGAGAATCCGAGCTTTCATAGCCATCCTCAGTATGTTGGTCCGGATGTTGTCGCTTCAGACTTGCCGTCAGAATGCTTCCAGCCTCACTGATCAGGTGGGCTCGCAAATCTGCTCGTTGAACGAAAACATGAAGACCTGCCCGGCTGCCAGGGCCATCAAGTCCATCTGGAGGCCATCGCAATTAGAAACAAGAAGCTACCAGGCGCGCCTTACTAGTAGTAACAAGAAGCTACTAGATTGGAGGCCATCGCAAGTAGGTTGGAGATTGGTCCCAGTCGTCCCAGTCCCTCCTCGCAGCAATGCCAAAGGTTGTCGCAAGTTCACCTCCTTCCGAAGCGATGGGGAAGCCTTGGAGCTCAAAGGTCGAACAAGCTTTTTGTTCCTAGTAGTAAGGCACTTGTTACTACTAGCGTGGCACTTGTTACTAGTAGCTATTAGTTAATTAAAACGTGAAATGAGCAAAAGTCCACATGTTTGGAAACAAAGCCCAGCTTAAGAAGCAGTAACAAGAAGCTAGTAGAAACAAGTGCATCGCTACTAGTAACAAGTGCCTTACTACTTAGTAACAAGAAGCTAGTCTGAGGCTCCCCCTTCAAGTCAGCTGAGCCTCATACTGCTACTCCGGCCTCTAAACGGCAGGCTGCATTGCAGGCCTCGCTGTTCACTGGCGATAAATGGTCTGGCGATTGTTGAAGTGTCTTGGCTGAAAGGTGAAATCGTTGGCCTCACCGAGTGAATGCCACTGCTGGACCTCGTGACGGTGGGATTGTCATCGCTAAGTTGGAGGTTATTGGTAGGTTGGAGGCCATCGCAATTGGGTGGGAGGCCATCGCAAGTAGGTTGGAGGCCATTGCTGGGATTGGTGATCCAAAAGAAAAAATGTCGCTCTTAGACTCCCGACGCAATCCTCCAATGCTTCCGCGCCATCGGAGACACTCACATCCTTCGAACAAGACCGAAACCGGTTAAACCGGCCGGAAACAATTGCCATTCCAAAGGCCTTTCAAAGGACCAAATACAAAGATTTGCGCCTGAAATGTATAAAATAACGTAAACTATATCTCTTTAAACAATTTTACTCCTTGCCAGGCACTGGCAACGTATCTTACATCACGGGGCCTCCCGCAGCGAGACGACAGCACGCAGAAGGTCATCCAGGACTTTG